TATAAGTTTTATTTTAGAAAAGACAACCGACATATAATTATAGCTTACAATTCCCTAGCTATGATATGCCATGGGACTGACTGCATGCCAAAGTATGCAAGGAAAAGAACTCAGCCTAAAACCAAACACTGAAAATTCTTTTTATATACAAAATTAAGGAGCATTTATGTTTAAAACTAAATTCTGGTCATGTGGTACCCAAACATAGCAACTTCTAAAGATAAATTAGAGTCTTATAGAATCTTCAGCTTTATATAAAGTAGTTATATTATGTAAAGAAGTAAATGCACAAAAGATGAAAAACTGGAGAAAATCATGATATCCAGGTATATATTTTCCTACCATATATTTTATTTTTAGTTGAGGACATTTGCCTGTGCAGGAATGTTAACAGTGTATTACCATTTTAGGAAAATAGAACTCCTAAAGTTTGAGGAAAATCATATACTTCCTGTCACTGTAATTCAAGTTACATATCTCACTGAGAAACTGAAGGGTTTTTTTAAATGTCTGAACACAAAATCCTATGCATTCTTAACATGCAAACCCCATAAAAGGATATCTTTGAAGGACAAGAGATAGTTCATCCAAACTGGATACTTTTTGTGAGCAAAAATAACATCTAACTTTTGAAATTTCAAGTATTTATTACTTAAAATTTTTATATTTAGAAAAAAGAATACAAAATCACTTTTCTTGTTCTTTACAGGTTTTACTTAAACAGCTCTTAAAACAATTTTCTTTATAGATATGAGGTTTATTTCATGAGATATTGGAATTTGTTTCCTACAGAATAAAGACAAAATAATTTCCCTAATGAATCTCTATATCTTATCATTGTATCAGGTTTTTTTTTTTAATTTTGCCAGAGTGTGTGCACTCTCTGGAGAGAGAGAGATCGAGATGGGGCTGGGAGAGCGAGAAAGCACTCCCCATGGGGCATGGTCATGCCACAATTCCTTTTCCGTTTCTCTCTTTCTGTATTTTGAGTGGGGCCACATATATGCAGGACCCATAGGTCTTTCAAACTGCTGGATCTGAGACTCAAGCCACACAGCCCACCATGTGAAATCTACCTATTTTTTTCTTTTTTAAATGATTTATTTATTTTTAATTATATTTATTATCATTATTCTTCTATTTTGACCAGAAAGAGACAGAGAGAAAGGGAGAGGGAAAAAGCAAGCCTCCAGGTCCAGGACTTGAACCATGATTGGCCACGTGGGAGTCCAGCGCCTCAACCACCACTCCACCTGCCGACCTCGAGATCTAGCTATCTTAACTATACCACCAACTGACCTCATTCTATTTTTCCATGAAGTAAGTTTTTTTTAACTTTATTTACTTATTTTAATTTGACCAGAGAGAGACAGAACAAGAGAGAGAAAGTGAGAAAGCAAGCCACCAGACCCGTGACTCGAACCATGGTCGGCCGTGTGGGAGTACAGCATCCTTAACCACCACAACATCTGCCGACCCCAACCCGTTCTATTTTTTAAAACCTAAATGCTTTTTTCACATATGTCCTATAGTATCCATTTTACAACTTTTGCAAGATTTTATGTGTTGGCCCCATAGACAAGTATCAGAGTCACTTGGTAAATGCCATATATCAATAGTATAAACATTATGCATTCTTCTTCCCAAACTTTCTGATGAAAACCATAAAAGGACAGCAGGTACCATGATGGTTAAAGCAGCTAGATCCCACATAGCTGACTACATAGATAGAATCCTAGATCTGGTAGCTTGAAAAACACAACGTGTGTGTGTGTGTGTGTGTGTGTGTGTGTGTGTCCAGAATCCCAAGAGAATTGAGGAGAAGGGATTATGACATGGTCATTCCCCCAGAGGATGTTTTTTCACTTTCCTTCTCTGCCTCTCTTTTTGTCCAGTGAGCATACAAGCCCTATAGCAAAAATTATGGGGAAAAAAAAAAAAAGACATGGTCTACTCTGGTACACCATATTTGACTTTCAGAAAATATGATGCTGTGCTCTGTTGGTATTCTTAAATTAATTGCTTTGATGTTGTTTTTCCTTGTATTTCATTACTTTCTCAGGTCTACTATTTAAAAGATGCACATTGCTGCTACCCACAAAGGAACGGCTAAAGTACATTCACAAGATCCTCATAGAAGTAAGATCGTACTTTTGAACTAGTTCATAATCTTGATTTGCAGTAAAGATATTCTACTACTAATGTCTTACACTCATTTCTAGCCTATCTTTAGTAGCAGAATTTCGTGACTCAGTACTAAAATGATGGTAATTTAAAATACTGTTCACCTATTTTTTTTTTTTTTTGGAATAAAGAAATTTTAATAGAAAAGCTTACCCCACACCCAAAAGATGTGCCATTTTTTAGAAAAGGTCTTGCTATGTCATGATCCTCCTCAGCTGGAATTACAGGTGCATGCCACTGCACCCAGCTTTTTAGGATGGGCCAGGAATCAAACCCGGGCCACCCAAGTAGCAGTGTTAGTCAGCATACCACCTTGGCTGGTAGTCTTTTAGTTATCATAAAACAATATATATAACTAAGCACATCGTTCACATTTATCTTATCCCACATAGGAATCCTGAGGAAGTTTTAAAGTGGTGACCTAAATACTGTATTAAGATAAAATAATTTCTGAATATTAAAATCTGTTTAAATGTATAAAATGTAGGAAGACATTTAATATACAAAATAGCAAAACTTTATGATAATAGATTTGGAAATGTGTATCAGTATGTTTGGGTATAATCTCCACATAAAACTTTGAATTTTACTCTACATATCCAAACACACTGCCATCTCTTGTATACATACTCCCTCGGGGTATGCAGTGTTTCGGGGGCACTGACTTTTTCCATGTCAGTTTTTGCATTGAGCTGTGTTCTACATCATTGCAGCAACTTCCCAGGTGACCTTTCCGTGGTCCATTCTTTCACTCCCGAACCTTTCTATATGTTGAAATCCTAAAATGTCAGATTCCTCAAGATAAATTGGTTGATTAAGAATCTTTCAGTGGCTACTCAATTTCAGCAAGATAACATCCAAAGTCTCTAGTTGATATTTAGGGTTTCCCCATAATGCAGCCTTACATCCTACTGCTTTGAACCTGATTAAGCTGGTTATATCTTTCTTACCAAATAGTGTTTATTCTGTTTCCATGGATTTGTCTTTATTTTTCCCTCACCAGTCCTTCCTATTTTTTTATCTGAGTTCTACTTCAAGACATTATTTCACTTATTTCCTTCATAATCTTTTTTGATCATTCCTAGATTTATCTTATCTCTGTTTTCATATTGTCTCACATAGTATTTATTCAGTGATTTTTAACATCTAAAACCTGAGTTATGATCATTTCACATGTGTATATGTTATTCTCCTAAATAGTGAGTTCCTTCAGAGCAACAGTTTTGTTTTTGTATTTCTTTTGTAATCCCCACCTATGTAACACAATGCTAGTCAGAATATATACTGAAGATTTCCTTACTTATTTCCATTAAGTTTGGCTATCAAATCATTGTACAGTTCTACTGAAAGGCAGGAATTAACAGTTGTTCTCTTTGCAGGTTTCCTGTTTTAAATTCAGTGGCTGTGCAGCTCCTATGCAATGTTTAGGATTATCATGCTATGGCATGTTTTTGCAGGTAGGTTTTTTAATTAAAGAAGAAAGGAATCTTTTTTAAATAGTTAACAAGTAGAGCATGTAATCTTTCTACAGGTTGATAGAAATTATAATAATCCTAGCAAAATAAAATTGTAAAGATTTGAGAATGTATTAATCTAATAGTGTGCCATCTCAGATTTTCCTCTTGGATTTCCCACTGGTAAAACATATTTAACTTGGGAGACCAGCAGATGGCATAGCAGTTAAATTATTGGACTTCCACATGCCCAACCGTGGGTCAAATCCTGGACCTGGTGGCTGCAAAATCACGCCAGGTGTGTGTGTGTGCATGCCCAAGATCCTGGGAGGAGAATGGAGAAGAGATTGCGGAGTGGCCATCAACCCTGGGGGATGATTTCTCACTTTCCTTTTCACTGTCTTTGTCTCTTTCTTTCTCTCCTGCCAGTGCATGCACCCTAAGGCAAAAAACTCTTAAAAAACAAAACAAAACAAAGTTTAACTTGGGACCAGCAAATGGCATAATGGTTATGCTGCTGGACTCCCACATAATTGGCTGCAGTTCAAATCCCAGACCCAGTGACTTAAGGGCATGTACATGTGTGTTCAAGATCCTGAGAGGAGAATGGAGGAAAAGGGGTTGTGATATGACCATTCCCCCTGTGGGGGATGATTTCTCGCTTTCTATGTCTCTGTCTCCCTAGCGAGCCCATACACCCTATAGCAAAAACAAAGAAACAAAAACAAAAACAAAACTCTTTTTTTTTTTTTTTAAAGAGTTTAACTTGGGGCTATAGCAGTTGCATCACTGGGCTCTCACATGGCTGAGAGCCAATCAGTCCCAGACCCAATGGCTTGAAACTCTTGCCAGGTGCATGTGCATGTATGCCCAAGATCCCAGGAGAATAGAGGAGGCATGCAGTGTGGCCATCCCCCTGGGGAGTGATTTCTCTCTCACTTCCTCTGTCTCTCTCTAGCCAGTACATGCACCCTAAGACAAAAACATCTGAAAAAAAAAAAAAGCTTAAATTTGACATTTATTAACTCTATCTCAATGTTCTAGGAGTTTCCAGTCAACTGTAAAACTGTTGGGTCAGGTCAGGTCAGGTCAGCAGGTGGTGGAGTGGTAGATTTCCACATGGCTGACCGAGGTTCAAGTCCTGGACCTGGTGACTTGCTTTCTCACTTTTCCTCTTGCTCTCTGTCTTCTCTGGTCAAATTAAAATAAGTAAATAAATAAATTTAAATAAAAGAATGCTTTTAAAATGTATTTAACTTTATTTATTTACTTATTTTAATTTGACCAGAGAAGACAGAGAGCAAGAAAGAGAGAGAGAGAGAAAATGAGAAAGCAAGCCACCAGGTCCAGGA